AACAATTAGGAGAAATTCTCAAAGTCATATTTTGGCATGAAATACCTGTGTACCAATTATTTTCATTGGTCCATGCTGAGAGGGAACATTCTGTGGTTTCTATGACTTTGTCTTGTTACTTGCAGGTGACAGGTGGCTTGTTGTTCATAGATACCAATAGTTTTCAGAACTATATCCTGGAGACTACAGAGGAGGTTTTGGTCTCCCATGGAGTTTCTTTTGTGGCCAAACAGTTCCCAGGAACCAAGTATCTAGGAGGCTGGGGGAGGTCTGGAGTTTCTTTGTGTGTAGTTTGGGCTCTAGACTCTGGGAGGCCAGAGGATCTGGAGTTTCCTTGTGTCAGAGGCCTACGTGTCTTTTCTGTAGCCTGTCATGGCTGCTAAAGCAGGGGGCTGAGTGAATTTCTAAATTATTAGAAGTGAAGCCCTTGAGTTTAGTTTACCCCTTTCATACAGTGTTCTGCCTCCATGTATGCCTACAGGCCAGAAGAGGACACCAGATCTCATTACAGATAGTTGTGAGCCACCATGTGGTTGCTGGGAATTGAACTCAGGATCTCTGGAAGAGAAACCAGTGCTCTTAACCTCTGAGCCATCTCTGAAACCCAGATTCAGGGACTTCTTAACTATAATCCCCTGTAAGACAAAAAAAATCAAATTACATACTTTCAACATACAATGGCACAGAATACATGGAAGAAAATGAGAGTAGTGAGGAAATACAGAACCAAAGCCAGACCTAAGCCCAGCAAGGAAAACTCCAAATTCTACAGCCCCATGTCTGACGTCAGAGGGCTTAGACAGCCCTGCCCTTCAGGCTCTGATGCCTGCAACATAACATCTCTGTCTTAGCCGGGCGTTGGTGGCGCACGCCTTTAGTCCCAGCACTCGGGAGGCAGAGGCAGGCGGATCTCTGTGAGTTCGAGGCCAGCCTGGTCTACAGAGCGAGTTCCAGGACAGCCTCCAAAGCCACAGAGAAACCCTGTCTCAAAAAAAAAAAAATCTCTGTCTTGGCTGGTTCCATACCCGTCTGCATCTTTTCTTGGCAACAAACAATCCAGGCTTCACTTTCACAGGCTCACAAAATGGCCTCTGGAGGCCTCTTGCCCTCTCTCTCAGGTTCTCTCCTTGCCTCCTGCCTCCGTTTCCAAGAGCTCAGCCAGAGATCATGGTGGTGCACCCCGCCTGCTCTTCCTCATTTTTACTATGCCTGCTTTGGAGAAGCTTTTGCTCACGTCTCGTGTACATTTCAATTGGGCTGTGCTTCTTAGGCTGATTGATGTTCAAATGCTCTCAATTGTGACCCTTGCCTTTCTTGTTTCTTTTCCCTTTTTTTTTTCTTTTTGGCTTTTGTTGTTATTTGTTTGTTTGTTTGTTTGAGACAGGCTTTCACAGTGTAGCCCTGGCTGTCCTGGAACTCCCTCTGTAGGCCAGGCTGGTCTCAAACTCTGGGGGATCTGCCTGCTGAGTGCTAGAATTAAAAGCGTGCGCCACCGCCACCTGGCTCCCTTGCTTTTCTTGTGCTGGTAGGAACAGTTTAAGGAGGAAGTGTTTTTTTTTTTTTTTTTTTTTTGTGGTTTACAGTCCAGTGTCCCAGCAGAAAGGCTTGGTGGCACGGCCTGAGTCAAAAAGAAAAAGAAAAACCTGGCACTTGGCTCCTGCCTTGAGTTAGTGCTGCACACAGTTTGCCTGAGCATCCCTCGGCCAGAAACTCCCTCACAGATGTGCCCAGTTTTCTTCTAGGTGACTCCACACCTGTCAGGTTGATGATGTTTTGATTTGTGTTATATTACACCGCAGTTCACATGTGATGTGTGAACAGAGTTCTTGGAGTTGGTCCTTTTCTGCCACCTTGTGGTGTCCAGAGATCAAACTCAGGTTGTTAGACTTGCATATATTGACTCTACCCACTAAGCCATCTGGCCAGCCCGGACTGACTGTCTGTATATACATATATGTACGTATAATTTTTTTGAGACAGGATCTCACTATGTAGCACTGCCTGACCTGGAACTCACAGAGATCCACTGCCTCTGTCTCCTGAATGCTGGGGTTGGAGGCGTGCACCACCACATGCTGTCCAGGTTGACAGTATTTTGTTTGTTTTGTTTTCTGAGACAGGGTTTCTCTGTAGCTTTGGAGCCTGCCCCAGAACTCACTTTGTAGACCAAACTGGCCTTGAACTCACAGAGATCTGCTAGTCTCTACCCCCAGAGTGCTGGGATTAAAGGCGTGCACCGCCATTACCAGGCTATTCTTTTTTTTTTTTGGGTAGGGAGGTGGGGGGTTCTGACTGCCCTTATTCTTACTTCATGGAACAAGAAAATATTTAACTTGTATTTTATTTTACAAGGGCCCACAGCTGAGAGGTTTTGAAATTTCAAAGAGAATTTAAAGTTTTGGACTTTGGAATTTCAGAGATTTTTGATGTTTTAGAGAAACTCTGGGCCCCTGAAAGAGACTGAAGTTGAAAGTGTTAGAATTTGTAAAGACTATGGGCCTATTAAAGTTGAAATGTGTCGGCCGGGTGTTGGTGGTGCACACCTTTAACCCCAACCCTCAGGTGGCAGAGGCCAGCCTGGTCTACAGAGCGAAATCCAGCCAAGGCTACACAGAGAAACCATGTTTTGGAAAAAAACAAGTTGAAATGTTTTATATTGTGATATTAGTATGCCATCTTGGGGACAGGTGAAAAATACAAAGTTCTAGTTGAATATTTATGTGTCTGATGTCAAGTTGCCAGGGGTCAATTATGCTAGCTAATTTTTATGTCAACTTTACACAAAATAGAGTCATTTTAGAAGAAGAAATGGAATCGTCTCTAACAGATTGTCCCACGTGCAAGCCTATAGTTCATTTTCTTGATTGATGATGGATGTGGGAGAATTTAGCCCACTGTCCTGGGATCTATAAGCAAGCAGGCTGAGCAAGCCAGTGAGAAGCTCCCTCCATGGCCCCTGCATCAGCCCCTGCCTCCAGGTTGCCACCCTGCTTGAGTTCCTGCCCTGACGTCTTTGATGATGGGCAATGATATGAAATTGTAAGCCAAATAAACCCTTGCCTGCCCAACTTGCTTTTAAGTCATGGTGTCTCACCACAGAACTGGAAACGGAAGAATACAGGAGTGCACCAACTTGCCACCATATTGCCTCTCCAGGTCATCCTGTTAAATGGCCTCTCCTGTTTTATTCCTGGGACTGTTTCTTTCTGTCACCTTGACTAGTCTTGCTAGGGATTTAAATGTTTTCATTCCACTTATTTTGAGTGTGTACGTGTCCATGGTGAATGGTGTGTGCCCTCGTGCCCACATGGAGGTCAGAGGACAACCTGTGGGACTTATCCTCTCTTCCTTCATGTGGGGTCCAGGGATGAGACTTGGGTCACTAGGCTCAGTGGCAACCACTTTTGCCTACTAGTCCATCAAAACAACCTTTTAAAATTAATTTTTCAAACACCAAAAAAACCTAGGCTGGGTGGTGATGGTGTACGCTTTTAATCCCAGCACTGGGAGGCAGAGGCAGGTGGATCTCTGTGAGTTCAAGTCCAGCCTGGTCTACAGAGTGAGTGCCAGGAAAGCCTCCAAAACTACACAGAGAAACCCTGTCTCTGAAAAACAAACAAGTAAAAGAATTAATTTTTCTTTCTTTTTTTTTTTTTTTTTTTTTGATTTTTCGAGACAGGGTTTCTCTGTGGCTTTGGAGGCTGCCCTGGAACTAGCTCTTGTAGACCAGGGTGGCCTCGAACTCACAGAGATCCCCTGCCTCTGCCTCCCGAGTGCTGGGACTAAAGGTGTGCGCCACCAGGCAAAGAGAAATAAAATTAAATGTAAAAAAAGAGACAGTGTCTGTCTTGTCAGCATGTAGCCCAGGCTTCCGTTGAGCTGAGCCGGGGATGGCTTCTTTCTCAGCCATGCGGCGTTTTGCCTGTGTGTGGTGCTCAAGAACCCAGAAGAGGGCATTGGATCCCCAGGAAACTGGATTTGTAGCTGGGTATGAGCAGCCATGTGGGTGCTGGGAACCAAACCCGGGAGCTTTGGAGCAGCAGCTGTAGTCTTAACCAGGGTGGTCTCTTTTTCCTTGGTGACTGTATTGGTCACTTTTCTGCTGCTGTGATAAAACTATCCAGACAACTCTCAGAAGGAGGGGTCTATTTGAGCTTATGGTTCCAGAGGTAGAATCCATGATGGTGGATTGGGGGCAGGACCACAAACAGGAGCAAAATGGGAATGCAGGCATCTGAACTATTAGAGCTTGCCATCAGTAGCACACTTCCTCCATCAAGGCCATGCCTCCTGAACCTCCCAAGTAATGCAATGGTCAAATGTCGCAGCCTATAGGGACACTGTCCTTTAAAACACCATAGTGATCAAAAGCTGCCCCCTAGTGTAGACTTTCAGGCACATTTTAGGATTGAATTTAGAAACTAAATAAAATGTTTCAACATAGAAGTGTATCAAATGTGCAGGAATTTACACAGCCAAGTTTCCCATTTTCTCTATCTGTTGTTCCTTCAAATAAGCCTTGAAGCCTTTATCTAATGCTGCAAACTACTAGGCATGGGGCTCCTGAGAGCTAGAGCAGCACTCTCCCATAGAGCCTTGTCCCAGCCGCTCACCAGGAGATTCTAGGCAAGCCCTCTTAGACATGGAGCCAGGTCCCTTGATAAAACATTGCATTTGCTGTCTTGAGTTCCTTGACCTAATTAATATCCACTTCCCTACCCCCTCTCTAGAGCAGCTGAGACATCACATGACGCAGATCTTGCCTGAGGACACTCAGGTTGAGTTTTGACCCCTAGATGACAAATCATTTGGTTTTGCCAGTGGTCGGCATGTCTTGGGTGGAGGTTTCCCCTGTAGCCCACTGACACTTGGGGTTAGAGGGAGGACACATTTCCCCCTGCAGTGTAGAGCTGTTGAGCAGTGGTGGGGTGACTGGTTGTATGTTTGGGGAAGGGGTGGGGACAGGAGTCTCTTTTGGTGCCCCAGTGTGTGTGCAACTTCCTGCTACAGAGGAAACAGTACAAACTTACACTCGCTTCTCCTTTCTCCACTGTGGTCTCAGGGCTGGCAGGGAGCCCCAGATCCTTGTGACCTCAGCCAGCTTTCCCAGCCCTACATGGGAAGAGAGATGCCCTGGACCATTCTGCTGTTTGCATCTGGTGAGTCTGAAGCTTGCCCTTGGAGGAAGCACCCAGCTGCCCCTCCTCCCTGTCCACCATGCTGCCATGTAGGGCAGACAGCACAGTGGGGCTGCCCTCTCCAGTTGTTAGATGAGTGGGAGCCCCACAGTCAGCCTAGAGCCTGACAGCCAGTCTTTTCATGGGAGCTTTCTCATCCCACCAGCAATGTCACTGTCTGTGACTCAGGACTGTGGCACTCAGAGTAAGGGACTGGGGGACATGTGATGTCAGGGAAGGTTAGCTGGGAAGTTCTGTGGAGTTTGCAGGCAGCTTGCTCAAAAGCCTAAGGACAAAACTCAGGGTGGAATGCCTGCCAGGGATGTATGTGGCTGTTTGTTTATTTCTTTGTTGAAAGACGGGCTGATGAGATGGTTCAGGGGGTAAAGGCACTTGCTGCCAGCCTGATGACCTGAATTTTATCCCTGACACTCATATAGTGGAAGGAGAGAACCAACTCCTGCAAGTTGTCCTGTGATTTACACACACACCACAGCACATACACACCACAGCACACACATGCCACAGTACACACACACCACAGCACATACACACCACACCACACACATGCACACAGTGATTTACACACACACTACAGCACACACATACAGTGATTTACACACACACACATCACAGAACACACACACAGTGAATAAAAAATTTAACCAAAAAAGACAAAACAAGGGGCTGGAGAGATGACTCTGCAGTTAGGAGCACTAGCTGCTTTTCAAAAAAACCTGGGTTCGCCAGGTGGCCCACACCTTAATCCCAGCACTTCGGAGGCAGAGGCAGGCAGATCTCTGTGAGTTCGAGACCAGCCTGGTCTACAGAGCGAGTTCCAGGGCAGGCTCCAAAACAATACAGAGAAACCCTGTCTTGAAAAACAAAAAACAAAACAAAAAAACCAAACAAACCAAAACAAAAAACAAAAAAACCTGGGTTCAATTCCCAGCACCCACATGGCAAATACAACTTTAACTCGGGTCCAAATGAATTTGGCACTCTTTTCTGGCCTCCATAATGACCAGGTACCCACATATTGCCCAGACATGCATGCAGACAAATCACTCATACGCAGAAAATACATTTTAAAAATACAAAATGGATTGCCTCTGCCTTTCTGGTCACGAAGTTGTGACAGCTAGGCAAGAGACTGGTCCCTTCCAAGGCTGCTTCCTACAGAAGACCCACTCCAACCCCTCCCCCCACACCAAGAAGTAAGGCAGATTCCTCTGCCCTCCTGTCTAACTACTCATCCTTCACCAAGCAACATGAACTCACCTCTTGGATTTTCTTTTTCTTTTCTGGCCTTGTGGATGAACCCAATGTCTCACACATGCTTGGCAGAAGCACTGAGCCACACCCCATACCCTCACTGGGGAATTCTAGGCAGAGACTCTACCACTGGGTCACACCCCATACCCTCACTGGGGAATTCTAGGCAGAGACTCTACCACTGGGTCACACCCCCAGCCCCTCACTGGGTTATCCTAGGCAGAGGCTCTACCACTGGTCACGCCCTCAGCTCCTTGGGGGGGTTATCTATGCAGGGGCTCACCACTGAACCACCCATCCCCGCTCATCTGTGTGTCCTGTCCACCTTCTGATCGTCTTCTCGCAACATTTCCTCAGGCTGGAAGGTTCTTCCTTAATCTTCACAACAGTCCTTCTCCACTAGCAAGGCTCAGAGTATATTTCTTCTGGGAAGTCCTCTGAGGTCACCCTGGTTCACAAGTAGTCTTCTCCATTACCCAGCACTCCTCTTGCAGTTTCCTGAGGTCAGAACTTTTGTTTATTTCCTTTCTGCCCTTATTATTTTCTGTGTATGGGTGATTTGCTTACTTGCATGCCTGGGTATTATGCGTACCTGTGGAGGCCAGCAGAAGGCATCAAATCCTTTTGGATCTTAGTTGCAGACTGAGATGTGATCTGCCATGTGGGTGCTGGGAATCACAGCCAGGTCCTCTGGAAGTGCAGCTAGTGCTTTTAGCCACTGGGCCCTGTCTTTAGCCCCAGTTTCTGTTCATTTCTTTTCTGTGAGACAGGGTTTCGCTGTATTGTTTTGGAGGCTGTCCTGGAACTCTCTCTGTAGACCAGGCTGGCCTCGAACCTACAGAAATCCACCTGCCTCTGCCTCCCAAGTGCTGGGATTAAAGGTGTGCGCCACCACTGCCCAGCTGGCTTCTGTTCATTTCTATAGTACATTGCCTTGTCCCTAGAAGGGTCTGATGTATAGTACTGTTGACTGAGCATCGTTGTATTGTTATATAATAATCACTGCCACTGTCAATAAAATGATTTAAAACAATGATATTCAGGGACTGGCGCGAAGTTAAGAGCATTGGCTGCTCTTCCAAGGGACCTGAGTTCAGTTCCTAGCAAGCCCATGGTGGCTCACAAATATCTGTAATGAGATCTGGTGCCCTCTTCTGGCCTGCAGACATACATGCAGGCTGAATTAATCTTAAATAAATTATCTTAATTTATCCATAATAAATTAATCTTAAAAAACAACAACAACAACAAACAACTGGGTAGTGGTGGCACACACCTTTAATCCCAGCACTTGGGACGAAGAAGCAGGAGGATCTCTGTGAGTTCAAGGCCAGCCTGATCGACAAGCGACTTCCAAGACAGGCTCCAAAGCTACACAGTGAAACTCTGTTTGGAAAAACCAAACCAAACCAAACCCAAAAACCAAAAATCAATGGCACTCAAATGTGCTGGGTACACAATCTTCTAAACAGAGGTATGTAGGATAACCAGCTACAAACATTAAGGCTCAGGGGGCTCAGGGCCTGGAGGTATAGTTCAACAGAAGGTTAGGATTGTTTGATCCCCAGCGCACACACACACTCACGCACACACTCACACACACACACTCTCACTCACACACACTCACACCCACACACTCACACACACACTCACGCACACACACTCACACACACACACTCGTGCTCAGGAATAGACAAACCGCACAAGGACACTGTAGAGTAGGTGATCTGGTCCCATGAACACAGCCAGCTCAAACTGTCCTTCTTCATTGCAGGTTCCTTGGCTATTCCTGCACCATCCATCTTCTTGGTGCCCCCCTACCCAAGCAGCCACGATGATCCCATGTACATCTCCTGTACAGCCCCAGAGGACTTCCTAGGGGCCAATTTCACCCTGTTCCAAGGGGGAGAGGTGGTCCAGCTCCTGCAGGCCCCCTCGAATCAGTCCGGTGTAACATTCAATGTGACTAGTGAGGCTGCTGGGGGGGACTTCCGCTGTCAGTACGGTGTGCTAGGTGAGCACAGTCAGCCCCAGCTGTCGGACCTCAGCCAGCCAGCGCGGGTCTCCTTCCCAGGTAAGACTCCGTGCAGAGCCCTGGCCATCTGCCTTTGCCCTCCTTGGAATGCTTCCGTGCAAGTCCACAGTCCAAGTCTACATGTAAGTCAATCTGAAGGAAAAGCGGCAGCCACCTGAGAGACACCAGGACTTACATCAGGGAAATGGTGTGTGTGTGTGTGAGACACAGAGACTAAATAAATGTAATAAAAATTTTAAATTATCATTCTTTGAGCCGGGCGTTGGTGGCGCACGCCTTTAATCCCAGCACTCAGGAGGCAGAGGCAGGTGGATCTCTGTGAGTTCCAGGCCAGCCTGGTCTACAGAGCAAGTGCCAGGACAGCCTCCAAAATAATACAGAGAAACCCTATCTTGAAAAAACAAAAAAAAATTATCATTCTTTGTTTTCTTTTTTTTTCAAGACAGGGCTTCTCTGTATTGTTTTGGAGCCTGTCTTAGAACTCACTCTGTAGACCAGACTGGCCTGGAATTCACAGATCCACCTGCCTCTGCCTCCCAAGTGCTGGGATTAAAGGCGTGAGTCACCACTGTGTACCTACCATTCTTTCTTTTTGATGGTGCTGGGAATGGAATCTAGAACCTTTTTACATTAGGCAATCTTTCTATTCTGAGCAATATAGTCCCTTACTGGCTTTTTAAAAAAATATTTATTTATTACATATACAGTGTTCTGCTTAAAAAGCAGAAGAGGGCACCAGATCTCATTGTGGATGGTTGTGAGCCACCATGTGGTTGCTGAGAATTGAACTCAGGACCTCTGGAAGAGTAGCCAGTGCTCTAAACCTCTGAGCCATTTCTCCAGTCCCGTTTTTGTTTTTAAGTGTGTGTGTAGGTCATTCTGTATCCTAGGCTGGCTTCAAATTCTCTAGCAAATGCTAGCCTTGAGCTCACAATCCTCAATTTTCTACATGCTTGGTAATCAATCCAGTCTTGGGATGGGCTACCATCCGGAAGGAAGAAACTTTCTTACAGGTCCGTTAGTCTTCACTGGCAGCTACCTGACTATGTACAAGGCTCTGGAAGTTTCCAGACCCACCTACACTCAAGATGCTTGGCTGGGGCATCTCTTGGGAAGGGTGGAGCTCCAGGAGGCACCCAGTCTCCTGTCCTCCTTCACCTCCCCATTCTCTTCTCCTCTAGTCCCCACCTGGATCATGGTGCTCTCCCTGAGCCTGGCCGGAGCCGTCCTCCTCCTCACAGGGCTGGTGGCTGTCGCCGTGGTGGTCAGGAAAGGTAATGGGGCAGCTGGCAGCCCGAGCTGCTCAGTCTTCCTCTTTCGTCTTTTGAGGCAGGGTCTCACTGTGTAGCCCTGGCCACCCCAGAAACCACAGATCCACTGCCTTTCTGCCCTTGGAATGCAGGCATTGCGCTACCATGCCAGCTCCTTCTCTTTCCCCTCCCCCATCATGTCACTGAGGCCGATGTTGAAATCCTGTTTATTCCTGGATTTTTCTTTCCTTTTTGGGGTGTGTGAAAATGTGGCTAGAACTTGAACTCCTCTTATATCAGCTTCCCAAGTGCTACAATTCCATATGGACAACACCACACTGTTTTATTTTAAATTTTCATTTTATTTTTTATTTTATGTGTATGGGTGTCTGCCTGCATGCACATGCCAAAACAGGGCACAGGACTCCTGCAATTGGAGTTACACACGGTTGAGCCATCATGAACTTTAGGAGGCAAGAAGGCAGTTCAGTTCAACATGACTTTAAGTAGCCAGTGTTGATTCAAACTTCAGAAGTCTGGCCCCAAGTGGTTTATTTTAGGTATATTAAGCATAGTACAATTTGGTGAAAATTTTCCTGGTGATAATGAACCCAATCCCATGAGCACAATAAAGCTTAAGACACGGCATTGAGACTCTCTGTAAAGGACATGACACCTTCCATTAAGATAGGTTCTACAGACTACATACGACACCTTCCAAGAGGATAGATTCTATACATGGACTGAGAAAAGCAAGCTCATGATGAGGGTTTGAGGGAAGAGCTGGTGTGGTCTCAGTCACAGATGCCACAAAGGTCACACTATTAACCATGCTCACTCCCAGCCTTCTGGGCTGATAGATTATGCATCCCTTCCTTTGCAACCTGTGTGTTCACCATACCAGGTTCTGCTAGTGCTCACCTGTGAGCATGAGGACCCCCATGGGAATTGAGCCTGGGGCCTTTGGAAAAGCAGCCAGTGCTCTTAGCCATGAGCCATCTCTCCAGCTCACCAGGACTGGGTTTTTTCATCCATGTTTTCAGGAACATAGAAACAGTCAGTCTAGGGAATTCTTTTACCAGAATTCAGCAGTGGGGCACCAGCAGAACTGAGGACAGATGGAGGGGGGGGGGAGACTGACATATGGGACTAGACCATCCCTTCAGGTATCACGATCTATGGAGGCTCAAGTCTCTTGCATAAAAGGCATAATGGGCATCCCTGTCATGCCAGCACTTACTAGTTGAAGGCAGAAAGATCAGGAGTTCAATGTCAGCCTCACTATATAACAAGTTCCAGGCTAACTTGGGCTATTCGAGACATGTCTCAGAAACAAAAGCACAGTCCCATCTGTGTTCAACCATTCCCTCCAAATGTTTCTAGGACCTTTATCCTCTAAACCAGTGGTTCTCAGCCTTCCTAATGCTGCAACCCTTTAATTCAGTTCCTCATGCTGTAGTGACCCCAACCACAAAATCATTTTCATTCCTACTTCATAACTGTAATTTTGATAGTGTTGTGAATTGTAATGTAAATATTTTTGAAGTTATAGGTTTGTTGATGGGGTTATGACCCACAGATTGAGAACCACTGCTCTGGACTCTGTATATTAGGCTGTGGCTTTGTTCATTCCATTCCACCTCAGCTCCTGGCCACAATGGTGACTCCTTTCTAACAGAGTTTACCGTTATGGGGAGGGGTGTGGAGGTTGCATGGTTCAGTTCTCTTTTGTCCCCATGTGGGTTCCCAGGATCCAATGCAGATCTTCAGGCTTGGCAGCAAGTGTTATGACCTGAAAAGCCACCTCACTATCACCCCCTCGCCCCAACCCCAACCCCACTTTTGACAGCTATCATGTCACTCAGGCTGGCCTCAAACTTGCTCTACAGGTGATGGTGGCCCTGTACTCCTGATCCTCCTGCCTCCACCTCCCTAGTGCTAGGGCCACAGGCTTGTATTGGGAAATGTCTAATGGGATATTCATGTTTTTATGGTTTTTGTTTGTTTGCTTGTTTTGTTGAGACAGGGCTTGTCCATGTAATAGTCCTGGCTGTCCTGGAACTTGATCTGTAGTCCAGGCTGGTCTCAAACTCACAGAGATCCACCTGCTTCTGTCTCCTGGGTGCTGAGATTAAAGGTGTGCACCACTACCATCCAGCTTGAAATTCATAGCTTTGTTTTTATTTTTATTTTTTAAGATTTATTTTTTTACTACTTATACAGTGTTCTGCCTACATACCAGAAGAGGGCACCAGACTGAATTGTAGATGGTTGTGAGCCACCATGTGGTTGCTGGGAATTGAACTCAGGACCTCTGGAAGAGCAGTCAGTGCTCTTAACCTCTGAGCCATCTCTCCAGCCCGAAATTCATAGTTTTTAAGAAGAGTAATTTTACATGTTTGCACAATTTTGAAGATTTTGTTTGGATTTTGCTTTATAGAGACAGGATTTCACTTCACAGGCTAGACTGGTCTGGAGACCTTCGATCTCCCATACAGATCAGGTTGGCCTTGAAAAGTAGGTAATCCGCCAGGTGTTGGTGACCCATGCCTTTAGTCCCAGCACTCGGGAGGCAAAGGCAGGCAGATCTCTGTGAGTTCGAAGCCAGCCTGGTTTACAGAGCTAGTTCCAGGACAGCCTCCAAAGCCACAGAGAAACCCTGTCTCGAAAAAACAAACAAACAAACAAACAAACAAACAACAACAACAAAAAACCCCTCCAAAAACAACAAAAAAAGAAATGTAGGTAATCTTCCTGCCTCTGCTTTCAGTTTGCAGGGATTATAGCCGTAAACCACCACATTGGTAACTTGAAGTTCTTTGTTTTTGTTTTATAATAAACATACATTTATCATAAGTCAAACACACAAAAAAATAAAAGTTCGTTCAGTAGATAAAGATGCATGCTGCCAATCATACCTACTTAAATTTGATCCTTGAGACTCTTGGTAGGACAGCTGACTCCACAGTTCTAACCTCTAACCTTTCCTCTAACCTCTGCATATGCCCTATGGTGTGTGTACTCACACCCATACCAAAACATGCAGACATAGAGTAAATAAAGGTTAAAAAAAAAACCACCTAAAATGTATCAGGTTGAAGTGGTAGTACACACTTGTAGCACCAGAAGTCAAAAGGCTGATGAAGGAGGATTGTGATTTAGAGACCAACCCAAGGTGGACCCTGTCTCAAAGAAACAGATCAAGGGGTAATGTCGCACACCCATAATTCCAGCATTTAGCAGGTAGAAGGAGGACCAGGAGTTCAAAGCCAGCCTTGGCTACATAGTGAGTTCAGGCTAGCATGAGCCACACAGGACTGTTTCAGAAAATTAAGAGGTGGGCATGCTGGTGTTTTTTTTTTTTTTTTTTTTTTGGTTTTTCGAGACAGGGTTTCTCTGTATTGTTTTTTGGACCATGTCCTGGAACTCGCTGGGTAGACCAGGCTGGTCTCAAACTCACAGAGATCCGCCTGCCTCTGCCTCCCGAGTGCTGGGATTGCTGGTGTAAATTTTTTACCCTGTACTCAGCAGGCAGATCTCTAACTACAGTCTAATCTACGTTGTGAGTTCTAGAACAACCAGGGCTGCATGTGAAACCCTGCCTAGGAAACAAGACAAAAAACATAAACCAAGAAAGTTCTTTGTATAGCAGATCTATGTGGAAAAGGCAAGGCTGGGGTCCATACAGGTCAAGGGAGCTTTTGGTTTCATGGGTGTAGACATTTTTCAGCAGCTACCAGATCCAGAAAAATCTAACCAGTGTCTGTCTTTCTTCTAGCTAAAATAAAGAACTTACAGAAGCAGAGGTGAGATCCTCCAGGGCAGTCTGTCATCATTTCACTGGCTGGGCAGACCTTCACCCACTACAGTGCCCTCTGGTGGGAGGACTGATAAATGCACAAAACATGAATTATTTATTGCGTACTGCTGTGTGCCATGGTGCTCTAAAACCAGTGTTCCCCACTTCCTTCCAGTGGTCCAGATGAATCCCATTTTCCAGATGTGAATACTGAGGCCTGGATTTCAGTCACACGGGACCTAGCAGACCAGCTACCTTACTTACCTCCAGCTCACTACTGGCTGCCACAATATTGTCCCAGATATCTAGATACTCAGGACTCTCACTGGGATTGTGCCATGTTAGACTTTCCCTAGGTGTCCCTGGGTCCTAACAGACAGAGAGCTGTCACTCAGTCTGATGACTAGAAGTGAGAATGCAGGTATTTGTGATTGGCAGGGGATGAGCACGTGGTAAGAGCAAGCCATAGCAGGAGTCGCTGGGGGAGGTTCTTGAACAAGTGTCCTATTTCATGAGGCACCCTTTCTTCTGAATCCCTTTGCAGAGAGCGTGAGTCCTGCTGGGCTCAGATCAACTTCACCAACACAGGTCTGTTATGCCTTCCATGCTTCCCTGAGTGAAGTAAGCTTCAAAATCCTGTTGCTACTTGGACCCTTTCTATGGCCTCTTGTTGCTCTTGGGGTCCAAGCTCTGTCCTCACCCTTTCTGCTGGGTCCCCACTTTCTGTTTCTGTCTCCAGCCTCTACACTGGCTCTACCCACTGCCTGGAACAGTCTCCCTGCAGCTTCAATGTACATGCTACCCTCCCGGAGACCTTCCCTGATCCCCACACGGCTCTGCGCTGTGCTCATAGACCACCTGTGCTCTCAGCACGTGACATCGCTCGTGACTTTCTTGTTCATGACTATGAGTGTGGGAGAGTGGCATGCCACCGTGCATGGGAGGAGGTCAGAGGACATCGTGTGGGAGCCAACCCTTCCCTCTACCAGGTCCCTTTACCTGATGAGCCACCTCACTGGCCCCTCCCAGCCCCGTGTTCACAGCTTACCCTGTGGTGACTGGAAAGGAGCAGGAGAGGGTCTTCTGCAGGGTGGACTCTGGGTGTTGAGGTCTTGGGACAGGAGCAGGTGGGTGCCAGGCAGCGGCCCCACCCTTTGCTGACTCTGTTTTCTGTTTCAGACATGTCCTTTGATAACTCTCTGTTTGCCATCTCCACGGTGAGTAGCTCTTTTTCTTAGTCAAGTTTCCTGAAGACCAACAGGCTAAGCTTGAGAACCAGGAAGAAGCCCACAGTCACAGAACTAGGACTTGCCCATAACCCTGGGGCTGGTTATGAGAAAGTAGGGGATCACAGGGCCATATTGTCACTGGATTGGGTTCAACCCTTGAGGATGGTGAGAGAAGGTTTGGAGTGACCCAGTGGCCTTTTCAGTTTCCTATGTGGAGCCTCGTGGCACACTGATATGCTCTCATCTCCTCCTGACAATAATTAAAAAAAAAAAGACAAACTTATTTTTTTTAAGTCAGTATAGGGGCTCACTCCTCTAATCCCAGCACTTGGGAGGTGGAGGCAGAAGAAATGGAGGACTGCCTTGAGCTTGAGACGAGCCTGGACTACACAGTGAGGTACAGGTCAACCTGGGCTACAGAGTCCCTATGGCCCCTACTTTATTTATCTTGTGTGTGTGGGTGTGGAGGGCCACAGCATAAACGTAGAAATCAGAGGTCAACCTGCTGAAGGTGGCTCTCTCCTTCTACCATTTGAGCTCCAGGAATCAAATTCAGGTCATCAGGGTTGACCAAAAGTGCTTTGAGCTGCTGAGCCATCTCAGTGGCCTGAGTCCCCATCTTAAAGGAAACATCGAGGAGGGCAAAGCGGTGCACACCTTTAATGCTAGCACTCAGGAGACAGAGGCTAGACTCATCCATAGAGTGAGTTCTAGGACAGCCAGAGCTACACAGAGAAATCCTGCTTCAAAAGTCAATGAAACAAAACCACAAAACAAAACCTGAAGAGGCAGCTGCATTGGTAGAGTCAGAGCCCAGTGTGTATGAAGCAGGGGGTCCCAAACTCAGCACCACACACAGAAAGAAACAACAGGGAGGGAGGGAGCTAGGGAGAAAGGTTTGCATGGGCCTGTTACATCTGTTAGGCTTCAGCTCTTGGACAGTTCCTGAACTGTGCAGATAACCTAGAAGACAGGACATGGTGGCCAACACTGGGAGGCTGCAGCAGGACTGCGGCAGGTCTGTCCAGTCTGGGGCAGCCAGGACAGTCCAGCCCCTAAGGCTTTTTTATTGTTGTTAGGCTTGGGTTGGATCTTGTTTCCAGACAGATTGGTCACAAACTCACTATGTTGCTGACAATGCACCTGAACACCTGATAATCTTACAGCTACCTTCCAAGTGCTGTGATCATAGGTGTGCACCATTATATTCTGTTTATGTGGTGCTAGGGATGGATCCCAGGGTTTACCGCATTTTAGCCAAATACTCTCCCATGAGTCACCCTTTTGAGACAGGGCCTCAATATGTAATTGTTCCCCCCATGGTCCCAGGGCTGTGTAAAACACTGCAAAACACACGCGCACACACACACACACACACACACATCTCTCTCTCTCTCTCTCTCTCTCTCTCTCTCTCTCTCTCTCTCTCTCTCTCTCTCTCTCTCTCTCTCTCTCTCATGTCTCGGGGCAGGGCATGTACCAAAAGTCTCAAGCCCTATTTCCTGCCTTTCTTGATTTGCCTATTCTCATGTGAACAATATATTTCTCCTTTTGACTGGCTATCGGGCTAGGTTCAACTCACATAGTAACCTTAGGTTTATCCCATTTTTTTTAATTAAAAAAATGTAATGGTGTTTTGCTTGTATGTATGTTTATGTGAGAGTGTTGGATCCTGCAGTTACAGACAGTTGTGAGCTACCACATGGTTGTTGGGAATTGAACCTTGGTCCTCTGGAAGAGCAGCCAATGCTCTTAATTGCTGAGCCAAATCTCTCTCACCTATTTTTATTTATTTATTTATTTACGTTTTCAAGGCAGGGTTTCTGGAACTCTGTTAGAAGACCAGACTGGCATCGAACTCACAGAGATCTGCCTGCCTCTGCCTCTTGAGTGCTGTATTTATTTTTAAAGAAAGATCTCTCTATGTAGTCCTCGAACTTAGAAATCCTCCCACCTCTATGTCCCAAGTGCTGACCATGGGATTAAAGGTGTGGCTATTAGATCTAGCTTCTTTCTTTAAGTCAGGGTTTTACCAGCTGGGGAGTGGTAGGGTATACCTTTAACCCCAGCACTCAGGAGGCAGAAGCAGGGAGATCTCTGTGAATTCAAGGTCAGTTTGGTCTATAGAGAGAGTTTTAGGACAGCCAAGGCTACACAGAGGAACTCTTGTCTCAAAAAAAAAAAAAAAAAAAAAAAAAAAAGGGAAAAGAAGGAAGAAAGAGTCTCATTGTTTAGCTGGTTGGCCTGGAACTCACTATGTAGCTCAGGCTGCTTTCCAATTGTCACCATCTTCTGAGTGCTGGAATTAAAAGCGTGGTGCCCTGCTGTATCTTCCTTTTACAGAAGAAGGCTCTGTGTCTAGACAGGGATCTTACCGGGGTCATTGGTTAGGGACCTCAGGCTGCCTCGGCCAGCTGGCTTCAGTCTTGAAAGGCTTAGGGGTGCACTGACGGGGTACAAAGGTGAACCTGCTCATCAGGTGCAGCCACCTCATGCACCCCTCTTTTTCAGGCCTCTGGGGCATGGAGACTATCATCTGAAGCTAAGACATAGGAGAGTAAGGCCAGGCTAGGGAGTGACAGCAGTGGGAACTGAGCCCAGGCCTCCGGCCCTCCTCCCTCCTCAGAGCCACTGGAGGTGGAGATATGGGGGGGGGGTGAGAGGGACCTGAGAATTTGGAGCAGGGGGAACTCCCAGATTCTCACATGCCAAATCACTCAGTTCTTTTTCTTTCATGGACAAAGAAAATGACTCAGGAAGACATGGTGGCAACCCTGGATGCCCATCCTTGCAACTCAGGGCCTCATAGGAGGCCCACCTCTACGCCATCCTCTCCAGAGCTCCCTGAGTTCAGCACTTTCCGGACCTGCCAGTGAGGAATGAGGACGGCTTGCTCTCCCAGCCCCACTGCCCACAGCTGCACAAGCTGGACATCTGTGAGACACTCAGTAGTAGGGAGGGACTCCTGGTGTTGTGACCTTCCTCGAAGAAGACAAGAAAAATAGTCAGGGTATTAGCCTAGAGGCGGGACAGAAAGCCAGAGCCCCTTTGTAGATTCCCTGGATTGGTCAGATCACCAGAGAAGTGTCAGCATTGCATCTGGACGCCCAGCTCACCTGACTTCCAGATGGGGGTTTTCTGCTGTTTCTAGACAGGGTCTCACGGTGTAGCCCTGTCTGTCATGAACTCACTGTGTAGACCAGACTTGCCTCAAACTCACAGAGATCCACCTGCCTCTGGGATTAAAGGTGTGCACCACCATGCCCAACTTCAGGATGCTTTTGCTGTTGTTGTTTGAGACAAGGTTTCTCTGTGTAGCCCTAGCTCTCCTGGGATTCACTCTGTAGACCAGGCTGCCTGACTCTCCCTCCCAAGTGCTGGGATTAAAGGCTCCCACCCCCCCAGCCCAGCAGGGTGTATGCTTTTTTAGTGACACGATTTCAATTAGTAGCTCAGGCTGGCCCAGAGATCACATCATCCTGTTCCTTCCTGAGATTATGGGCTTGTACCATTGGAGGTGGGAGGCTTGGGAAGACGCTGGGTGTTTTTTGAGTCCTGCTGGCACAGCTCCTGTTAAAGCAAACCTAAGGCCTCAGGTAATCTTTAAATTTGGGAGTGCATGGCTTGGGGGGTGGGGAGGGAGTTGAATGGAGGTACCATACCATTGAACTTCAGTTAACGTGTTGCATGAGAAATGTTTGGGAGTGCAGAAAGGGAATGGAGCATTGTGGAGACCAGGAACGTGGGAACCAATGGGTCTTAAGGACCAAGAGTAAATTAGAGGTCCCAAAGGGCCCACCAAAAAGTGAACAGCAGATGGCACTGTTGAACACAGTATCTAGCCATCACTGGGGGCCTGACAGTGAACTGGAGAGGAGAGGTCCGGGGGAGAAGTAGAAGAACTTCCTCAAAGATGGAAATTCAATGAGAACGCTAAACTCCGCAGGGTGGGTCAAAGCGCTTTCATAGTGGAGCGGCATGGGGCGGGGCCACCGACAGAGGCGTGCCTGCAAGCCTGCCCCACATCCAGGTCCTTTTCCTGCCCGGGAGAAGAGAACAAGGCGGAGCGCCTCGCTACGTCAGGGGCGGAGCCTGGGCCTGGGGGCGTGGCCGAGCACCGGGTTTGGGAACCCTCCTCCTAATTGCCCAGGCCTAGGAGCAGGACCGCGGCCGGGAGGCCCGACCTTCTCGAAGCAGGGCACCGGCCCCTGACTCACGCTTCTGCTCCGCCCTCAGAACGCCTGCAGTTTGCTGCTAACCGCGGCTCTTCAGGGGCGGAGCCAGCTCTCCTCGGGGCGCAACCTCGCGGACCAGCGCCTACTCACCCCCTAGCGTGGTCGCTCGCTGGACGCCGGCCTAGGGGCGGGGCCCAGCCATCGAGGGGGCTTTTCTTCCTAGTGGGTCACCGGTTCCAGACTTAAGGTCCTCTACCTTTCTTGAGCTACTCCACTGTGGTACATACAAAGCATGGTCGTTCGCGTGCCGCCGGCCTGGGGGCGGGGCGTGGCCGAGAGCAGCCTCCTGACGCACGCGGCGCGGTGGTTCGCAAAACGCCGGCCTGGGGGCGGGGCCGTCTGGTCCTTCCGGGGGCGTGCCCGACAGGCCAAGCACCGCCTCCTGGCGCATGCCCTGCCCATCTCTCCAGAGCAGCTGCGCCGCGGCACAAAGCGCCGCTTCACACGCAACGCGGCCTCGGGGCGGAGCCTAGCGCCTCTGGGGGCGTGCCATTGCGCTAAGTACCGCCTCTCGACGTAGGCTCCTTTACCCGGCGTGCCGGGGCGGCTAAGCCACCTCACAAAGCAGCGACCGTTCCCGTGGGGTGGGGCCGGCCCCACCCACGTCGTGCTCGCTCTCGCCGGACTTTCTCAATCGCCAGCAGGGGGCGCTGCGCCACCGAGCCTGCCCGTGGCGGCGGCGGCGGCGAGGCGGCGCGTGGCCGGCAGGCGGCGCGCTGCCAGGCTCGGCCTCGGCCTCGGCCTGCGCGGCGGCGGCGGCAGCGGCGGCCTGGGCCCGGGTGCGGCGGCGGCGGCGGCGGCGGCGGTGGCGGTGGCCGTGGTGGCAGCGGGGCCTGGAGCCGGACCTAAGATGGCAGCGGCGGCAGCGACGGCTGTGGGGCCGGGTGCGGGGAGCGCGGGGGGTGGCGGGCCCGGGTGGCGCCGGGCCCTGCGCGACAGTGTCGGTGTTTCCCGGCGCCCGCCTCCTCACTATTGGCGACGCGAACGGCGAGATCCAGCGGCATGCGGAGCAGCAGGCGCTGCGCCTCGAGGTGCGCGCTGGACCAGACGCGGCGGGCATCGCCCTCTACAGCCGTGAGTGCTGGGGACACCCTGGGGACGGCGGCGCACGAGGCCGGCAGCGCGGGCGCCGGGGGAGGGGGCGGGCGAGGGGACTCGGGCCGAGCCAGCGCACGCGGCACCCTAAGCCCGCCGGCGAGATGGCAGAGAAGGCGTGCGCGGGGACCAAGGAGCCTGAAGAGGGGCGCGGGAAACAGTCGGGAGCCTGAGATTTGCGGGGGGGGGGTCTCGTGGCAGGAAGTGGGGCCCCGAGGATTCGGGGGGGATGATACAGAGGGGACTGGAGAGGAGATTGAGAGGGCTCTTGGGCGGGTGTGGTTTGTAGATCTCGTCTCGGGGGACATCCTCTACACACGCACAGGGACATTTGAAAAGTGGCTTTCAGTGGGCAGCTCCGGGAAGACTGGGTGCCGCCCTTGTGGAGGAGGACTTGGGATTCAGGACCCCCCCCACTCCCTCACAGACACACGCACACACACACACGCACGCACGCACACCACCTCGATTGGTAAGCTTTAGAATTGGGCACAGATATAAAGGTTCCCACCCCCATCCCGCATGGAAACGTGGAAGAGGGGAAGGCCGGCTTGCTGATGGCCGGCTTTAGAAGTCAAAAGGTAACGCCACCTCCCTCGACACGCGCCTTATGTCTTCTTTTTTAAGGATGTGAGAAGCTGGTGACATTATCAGAAGCGCCTTCAAAACCTGACATTTCAGTGGGGAAAGGGGGGAAATCGCAGTGTGTTTGCCCAGGGCATCCCCCACCCCCAAGCTTTGTCGTGCTACCTTCATTCTTTCTCTTGCTACTCTTTCTTCTGGCGGATTCTTCGGTGGCATTTTGCTATTCTGTTTCATGGTCTTTGTCTCCCAGGGTTTCGTTCACTGATGCTCTTAAGGGGCCACCAAAGAAAACTGGTTTGGTTTTGGCCTGTGGGAATTTTTCCCCCTCCTTGGTGAATGGGGTGCTGGGAAGGGAAATGTGTGTAGCAGTCTGTTCAGATGGGTTCTCCTTTCTTTGCCTTGACTTTGAAAACACGGGAGAAAGAAGTGTGTCTGGTGGGGCTTGGGCAGGGCTGGGGTCTCCTTGACCACTCGAGGGGAAGGGGAATTTCACAGATTAGGAATTTAGGACTGGTAAGGAAGCAGAGCTCTGCAGGACCCCAGACCCCTAAGTAAGCTGGAGGTGCCTGGGCCTCCCCTGGAAAGTTTCTGGGGAGCTGGATGTGGTGGGGCCAGCCTCCCTGTGAGCACAGCACTTGGTAAGCTGAAGCAGGAGGACTGAAAGCTAGAGCAAAGCTTGAGTGGTGTGGGCAGATCCTTCCTCAGTCACCAGGACAAAATTCTGGATGCCTTGGGTTGTGAACTTGACAAAAACACTTTTTTTTTATTTTTGGTTTTTCGAGACAGGATTTCTCTGTGGCTTTGGAGGCTGTCCTGGAACTCGCTTGGTAGTCCAGGCTGGTCTCGAACTCACAGAGATCCACCTGCCTCTGCCTCCCGAGTGCTGGGATTAAAGGCGTGCGCCACCTACGCTCGGCCTTATTATTATTTCTTTATGCATAGTTTTTTATCTGTACCCCAGGAGAAGGAATCAGACCTCATTATAGATGGTTGTGAGCCACCATATGGTTGCTGGGAATTGAACTCAGGACCTCTGGAAGAACATGTAGTGCTCTTAACCTCTGAGCCATCTCTCCAGCCCGACAAAAACACTTTTATTATTTATTTTTGGTTTTTTGAGGCAGAGTTTCTCTGTATAGTCCCCAACTATCCTGGAACTCACCGTGTAGACCAGGAATGCTTAAAACTCACAGAGATCATCCTGCCTCTGCCTCCCAAGTGTTGGGATTAAAGACGAGCACTACCACCACCCAGCTAAAAAAAACATTTTTATTTATAAAATTTATTATATTTACATAATTGTTAGTTCTCACATAATCCCTTATACCCAATTCATCTCTATTCTTAGAAGCTCATCTTATTCCAGGAGAATATTTACACTTTGTGTTTTTTTTTTTTTTTTTTTTTTTTTTTGGTTTTTTGAGACAGGGTTTCTCTGTATTGTTTTGGAGGCTGTCCTGGCACTCGCTCTGTAGACCAGGCTGGCCTCGAACTCACAGAGATCCACCTGCCTCTGCCTCCCGAGTGCTGGGATTAAAGGTGTGCGCTACCAACGCCCAGCTACACTTTGTGTTCTTGTTTTGCTGTAATTCTCTAAGTTGCCTGGGGGCTCAGCATGGGTGAAGATATGGGTTCTGTTCCCCGCAGTGAAAGAGGAACATGAACTAGGGATATCGCTCAGGTAGAACATTTGCTAGTAAGTTTGAGGCCTCGGGTTAGATTCCCAGTATCAACAAAGCCCCCCAAAACAATCCTTAAGTAGCAGGTATGATGGTGCAGACCTGAATACCAGCATTTAGGATACTGAAGCAGAGGAAACTCAGTGTTTTTGTTTTTGTTTTTTCAACAGGATTTCTCTGTGTAGCTTTGTAGACCAGGCTGGCCTCAAACTCACAGAGATCCATCTGCCCCTGCCTCCCGAGTGCTGGGATTAAAGGTGTGTGGCAACACTGCCCAGCCACCCCATTTCTATTATATATTTATCTATTTGTTTGTGTAGGGGTGTCTCATGTCACAGTGAGAATGTGGAGATCAGAGGACAGTTTGCAGGAGTTGGTTCTCTCTTTCCACTATATGGGTCCTGGGAATCAAACTCATATCATGAGACTTGGTAGCAAAGTGCCATTACCCGCTGAGCCATTTTTGATACAGTCTTGTGTTTTCCAAGCTGGTCTTGAACTTGAACTTAATTTGTAACCTAAAGTGGCCTTGAACATTGTGCTACTTCCGCTTCCTTCCTGCTGGGATTATAGACTTGTAATCCCATTCCTGAGTTTGGGGTGTGGCTAAACATGGGTTCTGAAGACAGAGCTGGGTGTGGAGATTTCTAATGGTCTTTGTAATCAGTGACAAGTTTGGTGAAGTAGAGCAGTTGGGATATACTCTCATATTTCCTGGCCACACTCTGAAATTAAGGTGTCTGCAAGGTCACTCCCTCTGGAGTGGAAGGGAGAAGATTCCAGTGACTGCAGGAACTCTTGGCTTTCTGTAGCCAAACTCTAATCACCCCTCACTTCCTGTGGCTTCTCATTTGCCTCTGTGCACTTGTTTCCTACTTTTGTTTTGAGATGACCTCATGTAGAGCCTTCTTGGGGCCCCAGTGCTTTGGTCAAGCCAGAAGACACTGACCTGTTTATGAGCCTGTATGCTTCTAGCCAAGCTGTTTTCAGACCCCAGAATCAGAATTTGTACATAGGCTGTAAGGAGGGCTTATCAAAATACCAGAAGAATTTTTTTTAAGCTTTTGGAGACAGGGTTTCTCTGTGTAACAGCCCTGGCTGTCCTGGGACTCGCTTTATAGATCAGGCTGGCCTCAAACTTAAGATATTCACCTGCCTCTGTGTTCCAAGTGCTGGAATTAAAGGTGTGCGCCACCACTGCCTGGTCAGAAGGAATCTTGTAGTGCTTCAAATGTGTAGAGATCTCTGTGGCTCATGTAAGAGCCCTGAACTCAGGAGTCTGGCTGGTGCTGGTCAGTCATGTATTTTAGTTAACATTATGACCATCTGTGCCTGTTTCCTTACCTGCAGCAACACTTCTCTGCCTGGTGTGTTCCTCCCGCTGGCTGAAAGGCTTGAAGAAGAGGTTTTGTGGAGCAGGGGGTTTGTAGCAAGTGTTTGTCAACAGTACATTTCTAAAATTATATGTTCTTTGGTAACTTCACATATGAATACAATGTATTTAGATCACATCCACAACCCCAGCAACATTTTTACAGATGTTATTTTTTATGTTATATTATTATTGTTACTGATATATTGAGACAGTGTTATATTGCTTGAGCTGGCTTCAAATACACAATGTAGCTGAACCTTCAGTTCCTGAACCTCTTGCCTCCAACCTCTCCAGGGCTGGGCGACAGACATGCAGCAAGCACCATGCTGGGTTATGGTGTGCTGAGGATGGGACCCAGGGCTGCCTGTGCGGTAGGCAGACATTCTTCCCACTGAGCCTCAGCCCTAGCTATCAGGATCACATAGGAAAGAGCTGGTTTTCTAGGATGTCCCCTTACATCTTGTATCCCATGATGGGAGAGAGATTCTTGGGCCTCCATTTCTGGGCAGCTGTGCCCTGCATTGGGAAATGTGGCAGCTAGCTCCAGAGGGCTCCATTCTGGTCCCCCTGCATAGTAGTTACCCTTCCCAACTCTCCTGGTCATTTGAAGTCACTCTGGCTGTTATCCATGGGGACTGTCCTATCCAGCAGCTACTGTAACCAGGCCACTCTCTCTGGCACGACTTTCCCTGGTCTTGAGGAAGCATTGGCGTGGCCTCTACAGTAATAAAGACTGCCACCCTGGAAGGAGGCTGCTTCTCAGAAAAGCCCGGCCTGGGCTGCCTAGGAGAAGAGCAGAGTTGACTTGTATTTGCTCAGCCTGGCAACATCCCATCTAGAGGTGCTCAGGTCATTTTTCTGTCTTGGTCAGCAAGAATGAGTTTGGACAGTGTCCTGCTTACTCCCCAACCCCTCAGGAAGAGATAAGGAAGGGCTGATGCCATTTTGGTAAGGGAACATCCAGCCAGTGAGAAAAGGCTGGAGGAAACCCCTGTATTGGGATTAGGATGTATTCAGTTGGTAGAGTGTCTGCCTAATATGCATAAAACAGTCTTGCATAACCCCTACCTATATCTCCAATTGCCATATCCGAGAATGTGCGGAGGGTGTCGGGGATTGACAACACAGAGACTCGTTCAACAGTGTAATGAAAACTTTTAAGCAGGCCCCAAAAAGGCTCAAGAAAACTTCCCAAGAAAGGCTTCCCTCCAGAGAAGCTTCTGCTCTCTCTCCACCCCTGGCTGGTTCTGCTCTGACACCAGAAACTGATTTGGGTGTGTCAGAAGAGTCAGTTAGTCTTTGGACAAGGTCGAGGTCAGGGTGGTTCCGGTGGGCCAGCC